CGTGTTTGTTAGGTGGGTGTGTTTGATGGGTGGGTGTGTCTTGCTTGTGGGTGTGTCTGACTGGTGGGCCGTGTTGGACTGGTGGGTGTGTCTGACTGGTGAATGTGTCTGACTCGTGGGTGTATCTGACTGGTGGGCGTGTCTGTAAGGTGGGTGTGTTGGACTGGTGGGTGTGTCTGTTAGGTGGGTGTGTTGGACTGGTGGGTGTGTTTGTTAGGTGGATGTGCCTGACTGGTGGAAGAGTCTGGCTGATCGGCAGTTCTAGTAAAGTCTTAAACATTCTGATATTTCGAATTTTGTAAGTGTTTAAAAATACAATATATTCAAATCCAAATATCTAAAAAAATGTTCAATTGTCAGCTGAGAAATTGGAAAATACCCAAAGCCTGGTGCTGTCAGCACAGACATCCCCCCAGAGCATGTCAAGGCAGCACTGTTCTATAGAGAGTGCAAGAAATGAAAAGAAGGAAACACAAAATATATAAACCCATCTTTAGCCCAGAAGATTAACTTGTAGTTCTTGGTTAAACTGAGCCACCTGTTTGCTAATCCCCGAGCTGGGCCTGCCTGTCTCATGTCCATCTGTCTCCTCCTGTGCAAACCCTGGCACTGAGTTTCTGCTCAGGGCTGCGTCCTCAGAGAGGAGAGGACCGGCTGGCAGGCTGGGGAACAGGACACACTGCGGGACGCAACACGCCAATCACAACATACCGTATGACTCTTTGAACAGCCTGTCGTGGCTGGCATCACAGGCTGCTGCGTTCCCTCGGACACACTTCTCCTTCACTCCTGCTCCAGGACATCATTCCTCCCCTGCCTCTCCAAAAAGTATGGCTCCTCATTTCGCAGCATCATTTCCCACATGTTCAATTGCTTTTGCAAAACATTGTGCCCTGGGGTGCAGTTTGTTACCATTTACGAATACACCGAAGCCTGTCGGCAGAACTACATATCAAACAGCACCCTAACTGGGGGAGATAGCAGCTACAGAGTTAGCGCCACTCCCCCAGGAAAGAAAGAACATGGAAAATGTTTTATTATTTATGGACAGTTCTCTTTCATAAGTGCGCAGTCAGCATCTTTTCCTGTTTTGAGATTTTTTGTTTGTTTGCCCTGCATAGTATCCTGAGAGAAGGATTTCTTTACAAACTACAGACAAGTGAAGATGCGCCCCCCTCCCAGGCTGGTATTGAGACCATGCGCTCTGAATTCAAACTGGTGTGTGTGCTGTACAGCTTTGTTTGAGAATGAGCTGAAGGCACTCCGGTACTCCAGAGTTGCAGCAGTATCTTCTGGTGGGACTTACACCTGGTCCCCCTCACCTCAGTAGTCACGATAGCTTGGAGTTATATAGCGCCTTTCACCACAATACGGCTCACACCGCCAAGGTGACAAGGGGCTTGTCCACCCAGAATTCCTTACAGTCCCACGGGCCCTGTAGACCACGGACTCCAGCGAGCGTCTTTGTGTTCCAACTGCAGGATGCTCTGTCGGAGAGGGGAGGAGGAGAGGAGTCTATTGCCATGTGTACATGTACATGGGAATTCTGATTCGCACAGATCTCTCGGATCTCTCTCCTCCTCTTTTCTTGTTTTTGTTAATTTTCGGTTGTTTTCGTTGAACATGAACCTGATCCCGACGCCTCCAGCCCCTGTGTCATGGGCTCCCAGAGGCAGGGGTCTGGGACTGGCTGCCTGCGGCCTGACTGTGGGTGGTCTCAGTCAGAACGGTTCAGACCCCCAGCTGGACAGCGACCCCCGGGGGCTGGCCAGCAGCACTGAGAGTGTAAGGCTGTGGGTGGGAGCTGCCTCCTGCCTCCAGCTGCTGCTCGCTCTGCTGTGGGCACTGAGGGGGGGGCTCGCAGACCGGCAGCCGCAGAGGAACGTGGGGGGGGGGACAGCTCACGTTGGTCCCCATTCCCCACGTGTCAACACACAAACGTCAAAGCAGCCAGGCGCGTTTCTTAAAGACGGCAACTTTAAATTAGGGTGGCATAAAAAATGTATAAATTCCTAATTGTAAAAAAAGAGGTAAGGAGGGCAGTTTTTCTGGGCTGCTTGTGGAGTTGGCAGAGAATGTGGAGGAGCCACAGATGTCTGGGTTATTATTAGATCCTCCTGGTCACCCAGATATTCCAGAGCTGGAGGAAAAGAGGGATTAACAAGTGAGGACATGGCAGTGTGAAGGGATACTCTCTCTCAGTCAGTCCTCCCTCCCTTCACACTCTCTCCACCCTCCCTCTTTTCACTCTCCGAGAAGCGCAGCTTTGTCTAAGATGCCACTAACACTCCATCGCCAGCACTGCAGCCTGCTCGCGCGGGGAGAGGGGGCCGGTGACGGCCTGCTGTTCCCAGAGATTACCAAAAGGAGTGGGATCAATCCGCTCTCAGGGCTCCCTGCCTCCTGTACAGGTGTGGATTTCGCTGTGGCGGTGCCGCTTGCTCACAGCTGGAGCGCACGGAGGATCCCGGGGGAGTTTGTCATGGAAAGGACAGCGAGAGGGAAATGGATCGGCCTGTGAATGAGAATTAAAGAGTGATCAGCCTCCCTTGGCTGGAGAAACCAAAACCACTGCTTCATCCGGGTCCCCTGTGGCGGCGCCAGCGTGCCTCCGTCCTGCTCCGCATGCTGTAACAGCCCTGCCCCCACCTCTCTCTCCCAGCCTCGTCTCTCAGCATGTCTCTGATAGGCCTCTCCCCTAGGTACTGTATTGCACTAAAATACACAGCTCGGCCCCAACAGCCATGTCACCCTGCAACTCACAACTGGCCACCCAGTGAAGCTCAGCAGGTGTGAGCCTGGTCAGTACCTGGATGGGAGACCTCCTGGAAAGCTATTGTCGCTGCTGGAAGTGGTGGTAGTGGGCCCAGTAGGGGGCGCTCACCCTGCGGTCAGTGTGAGTCCTAATGCCCTAGTGTAAGGGCGGGGACACAATACTGTAGTGGGCGCCGTCTTTCGGATGAGACGTTACACTGAGATCCTGACTCTCAGGGGTCATTAAAGGTCCCCGGGCATTTCTTGAGAAGAGTTGGGAGTTATTCCGGTGTCCAGGCCAAATCTCCCCCTCGACCTTTGCTGTGGCCTCCAAATTGTCCCCATGTAGGACTGGCTTGCACTGGCCCTGCGATGGACGGGCGTACCCAGGGTGTACCCTGTCTTGCACTCGTTGCTTGCTGGGTGGGCTCTGGCTTCCCGCGACACCGTATGGTATAAAGCGGTTTGGCAAATGACATGACATGGCACAGCTCGCCCAGTCGAAGTCTCTGGCACAGTCCCGTGTCACACAGGCACCCAGACTGGTCTGCCCGGTTCCCCGTCTCAGTCTCAGATCTGTCAGTGTTTTGTATCAACATCTCTCTCCTCCTGTCTCTCCCTCTTCCTCCTGCTCACCCACCCCCCCTCAGCAACCTGCCTGGTCCTGGGCTGCCTGATCTTCCCGGACGGCTGGGACTCGGATGAAGTGAAGCGGATGTGCGGAGAGCAGACGGACAAGTACACCCTGGGCGCCTGCTCCGTGCGCTGGGCCTACATCCTGGCCATCATGGGCATTCTGGATGCCCTGATCTTGTCCTTCCTAGCCTTCGTCCTGGGCAACCGGCAGGATGGACTCATGGCTGTGGAGCTGCTGGCCGACAGCAAAGGTAACAGCCTGCTCATGCCTGTGAGCTCTGTGAGTCAGGACCACTGCACACACACACACACACACTCCTGGGGTCCTGATCGCCCGTGAGCTCTGTGACAGAACCACTGCACATACACACTCCTGGGCTGTGAGAAAGGGGCCCTGTGGTATTGGGATTGGGCTGAAAAATAGCTGGCCATTCTTCACAGCTGCATGCACAAGGCCTGTGCTGGGCAAAGCCACTTAGTCTTTGAACATCAGGCGCGTCTTCCTTTAACGAGGAGCCTGAAAATCGATGCCCACTGTTAGTTCATGATTTTACACCCTGTGAGCTGGGCCAACACGGGGGTGATGTGACACACTGCAGAGCTGTGAGCAGGGTCAGTGCCATGTTGACGCAGCTTGCAGATATCTCCACGGATCGCTGAATCAACACTAGTGTGTTTCGGCAGATAGAGCCGGGCGGGGAAGAGAAGCAGGTGCTGGGCGGCAGGACGGAGATCAAAGTCATTGCCTCAGCCCAGTCATGTTGACCCAGTGTCACGAAGGAGTTCTTTCCGGGCCCTATGCAGACGACACAATCCGGGGTTGAGTGAGGAAACACTGGGAAAAAAGTCATGCAGGATACAGGGATGAAAACAGGGGGGGTGTCCTTGGTGCGCTGGTGTTCGGGGGAGGTGAGGCCGAGGCAAACAATCCGGGAGAAATCCAAGGGGGAATCCAAACGAAAGCAAAAGTCCAAAACCGGGCGGTCCATCCAAGACAAACTAGATAAAAACTGGAACCGGGTCGGAACCGGCGGTGGGGGGAACGGGAACAGAGAATAAAACCTTAACAGGACCAGGCACTTCCAGGTCCTGGACTCACCTGGTGCGGAAACCAGAGCAGAGCCCGGAACAGAGTGGGCGTCTGGCTTTTAAGGTGGAGCTGAAAAGGGGCTGGAACAGGGAGCAGGTGCGGGGGATGAGTAACAGACTAGGAAGGGCTGGAGCATCCTTAAGAGGAGGGGTTACGAACGTGACACCCAACAATCGTGTTTCCATGTCATCGGCTTGGTGTCAGGCTACCCTGTGTTACTTCCACTGACAGAAGAACACAAGCAAAGCTTACCAACTGAAGCAGGCCATTCTGCTGTCTTAACCGATACCATACTGACACCTGAACCTCCCCAACATTACCAGCCTGCAGTGCAATGACCTCAGGGAATCATCCTGCAAGACAACCAGACTCTGCAGGTCTGAATGTCCCCACCCGGAGGCTCTGTGATCCGAGCGTCCTTGTGTTTGTGCAGAACTGGGATCTAACAGTGGAGCAATAGCTGCATAAGACCGACCAACTAGCCAACTGGCAAAGGAACTGACCTTTGAATGAAACCCTTGAGCGATCACCTAATCTCAGTCACCTAATCTCCTAGCTGCTGCTCAACGCTACAGGTCATCTTCTCAAGCAAAGCCCATCCCTGAACTCTCTCGACCAGCTGAGCAGAGGCCATTTTCATAGTACATGAGCCAGCAAGTCCACACTCCTCATCAATTGACAGACCGAACAAGCGACTTAACTGAACACTCAATACGAACCAGAGGAGGCCATGCAGCGTTAGTTAGTAATGAACTGATCCAGGGATAGAACGGCCACGGTATTGGCCTCCACAACATGTGTAGGTATCTTGTCCCACACTCCCACAGCCCATTTCTCTGGTTTAAATGCACCTGCAGTTTGGTTCCACTGGTGCCCTCCGGTGGCTGTTTTGCTGTTCATTCTGAAGAAGTCCGCTGGTGGGCCTTGAAGAGTCTGGAAACTAGTATCAGAACATGCCCCTCAGCCTCCGAACGTTTCTGGTTGCTCTTCTCTGGAGGACTTCCAGAGCAGCAATCTCTCTCCTATAACAAGGTGACCAGACTTGTTCACTATATTCTGAAGGAGCTGTAGGATACTAGTGCATTCTGCTCTTTTTACATAATGTCCCTTGATTCAAATTCCACAGGGTTTAATTATATGTCCTAGTATTTTATTTACCTTTTTAATTGCTTCTCCAGACTGGAAGATCGTAGGAGATGTAAGTGAGGTTGTCAACATGAACACCTATATCAATAATATCAATGGAAACTCCAACTATGTGCGTAACCCACTCTAACCAATAAACTCTGAGTGCACCCAGCAGCCAGGTAGGCTCTGAAACAACTGGCCGTTCAGATCAGACCTGCTGGCCAGCCCCAGCCCCAGGAACACACAGACAATCCTTCTCTTGGAAGCAGGCAGCCCTCTTCCCAGATCTTGCAGTGTTTTTGCTGTGGCACTGAGGCAGGAGCTGCAGGCTTCCTGTTAATGATGTCCAGGGGCGCTGTGGGGGTGGGTGGGAGGAGAGGCGGCCCTGTGACAGATGAGCAGGCTGCCACATGCTCACTTTCCTGTATCGGCAGAGCCTCTCCATCGACTCTACTTCTGTTTATATGTCCTATTCCAGGCTTCACTCCAGCTGAAATACTGGGTGCAATCAGACTCAGAACAAATGTTTTGGCGCTTAAACATTTAGAAGAGGAAGCCTTGCGCTTTATTTTAAAAAAAAAAAAGTGGTGAGGGCCAGGAGGTCCTGACATCAGCTGCTTGTCTGGAGCTGCTGTCGTTGTCAAGGCGCTTTCTCAGACCTGGTCACCACGCTGCTCCGAATACCCACACACGGGCTTAGAGCTGCGTCCCAGGACTGCCATGAAACAGACAGGTCGGGGCTGCTGGACTGAGCGATGAGTTACTAATGCGTGTTTACACAGCTTGCAGCTAGCCTGTCTAAATTAATCGCAGACTCAATAGCAGTCTGCACGTTAGAGCAGGGAGACTGGCAGGGAGGGAGAGAGTGCGTTCTAATGGTTAGAGTCCTTAGAGGCTAGGGGAGCAGGAGGAATACATTTGGTTTGTCCATCATACACCATCTGTCCACCTCTCTATGTCTCTCTCCCCTCTCCCCTTCTCTCCCCTTCCAATTTCTCCTCCTCTTTACATCACCCCACTCTTACTCCTTTCTCAGGTTCCACCCCCCCTTTTGCGAGAACCGGTTCTCTTAGAGACACAGTGTTTGTTCCCTGCTGACGAGTCCTCCCTACTCAGTGTTAAAACTGGTAGACTCGTTGTTGCCCCCGCCTGGCAAAACCGCAGTACTGCAGCCCATACTGCACAAGTCAATGATAAAGTGATTGAAATGTTATATCCTCTTTTTTACAGAGGTGAACTCTGCATTCACACAGCTCCTAGCAAATGTTAAAGGACCATTAGCTGCATTTCCAAACTATATATACTAAAAAAACTATATGCCTCTAGCTTTAAACATACAAATAACACTAGAAACAGGTGTACACTGATGTTATAGTGTCGATACTCCTTCTCTACTGCTCCCGTCTCCTCTCCACCACCCAGCCGAAACGTTGTGTCTCTTTTCTTTTCCTGTCAGCGTGGAATAAGCCTTTTACCTGTTCCTTTGCACCCTAAACATGCAGATGCAACTGCCTACTCCAAAATACAACTAGCTGTCTAGCCAAAGAATTCTAAAATTCTGGAAAAATGAAGAATGATTTAGAGCTGCATGCGTGCAAGCAAAGGCTCAGACCGAATCGGTCCTGCCTGCTGAGAGCTGTGGTGGCGTGGAGGTAATGACGCAGGAGATCACAGGGATCCTCAAGATGAACAGAACGGGTGGAGGTGGCCTCTCTCTGCGCTGGGGCGCAGTGCGTTCTGGGCCCTGTGATGTCACTCACTGACCATGTCCGTTTCTCTCTCTCCACAGACAATGGGAATGCCTAACGCACAAAGGTGAGTGACCTGTTGCTCAGCCATGTCCTGACAGGACAGCCACTCTGCTCTCACTGGAGCCAAGATAAGAGGGATTTAATCGACTCTCGTCCTCTGCCCAGAGGCTCCAGTAAGCGTCTGTACAGCAGAGTGGCCTTACTGGAACTACAGTGTCCAGTAACTGGACCAGGGTATGTCCAGATCTGCCTGCCTCCCTCAACTCGTAACAAGTCCATTTCCTGCAAGATGTGTTTGATTATTTCCACTGGCTCATCTGAAAGAGACTTTGTGCAAAATTACAGCCAGTGACGCAACTGACAGATGCCGAGTTAATTGCTCTGCACCCCCCAATCATATTCTAAAGAGCAACAGTTCCTGAATGAATCGGTCCTGCCAATTAATTCCCTGCTAACTTGTTCTACACAGCAGCTAATAACTCCTGATTAGTTTAACAAGGGAATGTTTGATTTCTGAAGTGGACAGCGTAGAGCATTCCACACTTTAATTGTCAAAATTGACTTTAACCACAGGAAGGCTGTGGGTTTGATCAGAGGTGTATCAGCAGGTATATCACTCTGTACCTCACAACTGGCAGCCCACTGAAGCTCAGCAGGTGTGTGCCTGGAGGGGAGACCTCCTGGGAAAACTGAGGCTGCTGCTGGAAGAGGTAGAGGGACCAGTAGGTGGCGCTCACCCTGCAGTCTGTGTGGGTCCCGATCCTTCACATCACAAATATAGTGATGGGGAAACTATACTGAATAGTGAGTAAAGGTGCTAACCCCAGTGTCCTGGCCAAATTCTCCCCTGGTCTTTACTAGTCATGGCCTCCTAATAATCTCTGAACTGGCTTCATCACTCTGTTCTCCTCCCCACTGAGAGCTGTACTGGAGCACTATGGGTGCCGTCGCATCATCAGGTGTTGCTGCACACTGGTGGTGGTGGACGGGAGCCCCCATTACCTGTAAAGAGCTCTGAATGGAGTGTCCAGAAAAGCGCTGTATAAGTTTAAGGACTGTTATTTATATAATGAAGCTGAACGCTGAAAAAAAATGAGCACCGCAAGAGTGAACACTCAGGGTGCAGACCTTACGCCCGGCCAGTCACTCCCTGGCTCTGCTCTCCCGCAGGTCTCACCGGTGTCCAGCAGGGGGCGGCCACGAAGTACTTTCACGCTCCGGCTTTTTACCCCATCACCCCAAGGGTGGGAGGCAGGCTGCAACTCTGGGAAGGGACAGAGACAAGGATGGAGGAAGAGAGAGGAGAAAGACGAGAGCGAAAGAAGGATGCGGCTCTCCTGGCTTTAATCAAGGAGCTCCACCACTGTCGAGACCCCCCCCCTCCACCCCTGCCCATTGCCGCCCCCCTCTTGCCTCTCACTCGGGGGGGGGGCACCATTACCCACTGGAGACGACCTTTATAGAATAGAGCCTGGGTCAGGGCGGCGGCATCAGTGACAGCTCCAGCCCACGGGATGCTTGGCAGAGTGATGCGCAGACAGACTGAGCCCCAGTACCCGCCTGACGGATCGAATAACCCACAGACACTGGCATCTACAGAATCAGCATCTTCTGCATCATGTCCTACAGCTTCCTGCATCATCTTACTGTCATGTCCTCTATCGTATCCTACATCAACCATGTCCTACATTATCCTGCATCTACAGAATCAGCATCATGTCCTACAGCTTCCTGCATCATCTTACTGTCATGTCCTGTATCGTATCCTACATCAACCATGTCCGACATTATCCTGCATCTACAGAATCACCGTCGTTTACATCATGTCCTGCATCACATACTACATCATATCCTACATCATCCTAAATCATCCATGTCCTACATTATCCTGCATCCACAGAATCACCAACTTCTACATCATGTCCTGCATCACATCCTACACCATACTACATCATATCCTATATCATCCTACATCATCCATCTCCTTCACCATCCTGCATCTACAGAATCACCAACGTCTACATCGTGTCCCGCATAATGTCCTATATCATCCCCTGCATCATTCTACATCATGTCCTACACCATATCCTGTGTCATGTTCTGCTTCATTGCACACACTGACCTTGGCATTTTGTAAAATAAATCTTACAGTTATAACCACAGCAGAAATAATAATATAAGTACTACGTTTATAAAGCAGACGGTCATGTTTTAGATTAGTAATACTCATTCTACTGTACAGCTGACATCAATCTTCCTGTTTAACGGTCAGTTGGTTTGCAGACACCTACTGCTAAGAGAGACCGTCTCCCAGATGCGGAGCCAGGACAAACCTTCCCTCGTCCTGGGGTGTCCAGTTCAGTCCTGTCTGCTATACTGGACTGTGCATTGACTCCCCACCACACTGACTGATGACTACAGGACTACTCTGCTGGCTGACCTCCAGCACGCCAGCACTGCAGAACACAGTCAGGTGTGACCTTGAGCTTTCTGTAGATAATCTTCCCCATCTCCCAACGAAGAGTGCAGGACCACAAGCACTCCATCTCCTCCTGGGATCGATCACTACCAGAGGCAAAACTGCACGACACAGGAGGGGTCCAGGGTAAGAGCCCAGTTCTGAGACCCCTGAGCACCTTGTTCTCACGGTGCAGCCGGGATTCTGAGAGGAACAACTCAAGAGAGGGCGAATTCGACCGTGTCTGAGGCGGGTTACGACACAGAACCCCAGTAATTATTTCCTTACTTGGCAAACTAATGATTGGGGGGGAATAATGTATCCTTCATCATCTGCATCATTAGTAGCTTACGGTTTTCTTCATCCAGGAGACGAAGGCGATGGGTTTTGTTTTTCCTCCGAAATTGTGTTTGAACTTCATCAGCTCTGTGCCGTATTACCTCTTAATCTGTAGTTCCTTTTGATTTTTAACGAGCCGCTAATAAACGGAATGTGTTCGTTTTGATCAGAATGTCCCGCGGCCAGGGTAAACAGAAGGGTGGACTCGTGTTTTGGTCTCTTGAGCTCTGGGCAGTTGGTGGACGGCTCTCCGCTGTCGAGACGTCCTGGCCCAGTCTGCCCTGGACCGGCGGGCTTGGCCAGCTTCACGCTGGACTGGACTGAACGTGTCCACTCTTGGGACTCCAGCTGGGGTCTCCACAGCACTGCTGTCAGGGAGAGTCCTCTACTGTCCTGGCTTGGGGACAAACAGCGGCGGCGTGGAGCTGAACTGTCTCTGCCTCTCCGGCCGCGGGCCCTGACCTCAGGGCTGGGTCTGAGGGCCGAGCCCACTGGCCCGAACTGAGTCTGCTGGCTCTGGGGAAGAAATGTATTAATGAATGTCTGTGTATAATATCTGTGTGTGTACAGTATTATAATAGGAAACCACCAAATAATCCTGTTGTGTCCTGAAAAAAAAAAAAGACATGAACTCTTCATCGATATTTGATTAGTACAAATGTGTCCAATGACAGACCCTGCTGATGAAGGGGCAGAGGAGCCTGGCCATCGATAACACACCCAGCTCGAGGCAAACCCTGCAGTGGCCCAGCATGCTGTGCAGAGAGTCTGGGGTCTGGAGTCCTGCGGTGATGCATGGGGTATTGCTTTTATACAGTGACATCTTGGTGTGTCCGTAACGCTGTGCCCACATGAACACTCAGACCTTCAGAAGGGGGGAGAGCACGTGCCTGCAGTATCCCAGAGGAGACTGGCACTTCTGGCTGATAGCAGGGCAGGGGTACTCGCACTCACACCTCGGTATCCCAACCTAAGTCGTTCCTGAAAATCTGTGCGGAAGGCAAGAGATCGTAAATGGAAGATAAAAATTCCACTATTTCTTATTCCACCCCATTCCGAACCGAAGACAAGCTCACTCAAAAACCACCCTTAACGTGTAATACCATACAGGCCATTAAAGCACGCTTAGTGAACAAAGCAGTTCTACTGAAATAAGCCAACCATAGCTGTAAAAGAATTCATGATGTCATATTTACATTTTTCATTCTTTCGGAATAGATCGCTATCCAAGCGATCTGAGAACGATGTGCACACTGCTGTCGACTGTTACGCTAAAGAATGTTTTCCTCTTCCTTAGTGAAGCCCATAATGAACAGCAACTATAAAACAAACACAAAATAAAGCACTTTGGAAACGAGAGCACAAGCTTTATTCGTGATCGTAAACGAAGCGCCGCTGCCTCTCAGCCCCCTTCATCGCGATGCCCGTCGCCCGCGCAGACACACGCACCCGTCCAGAGGCTCTGAATCCAGATGCTCGCAGAAGTTTCTCGGCCAAAGTCAGTCACTTTCGAAGTTCGGATGAGCGAAATTCCGTTCTTATAACGAATTACGAGGTACAAATTCTTCATGTTGGGATGAGTGAAAATTCGTCTTATACCGGGGTATGAGTGTATAGAGCAGGGGTGGCCATCCCTGCTCCTGGAGAGCCCCCGCCCAGCAGGTCCTACAGGCCACCCTTCAATCAGCCATTAGCACAGACGTGGAGCGTGTGTGAGAATCGGTCAATTTGCTGGGTTAATTGGTTTACTGAAGTCATAAATTGCCACCTGTGGTCCCTGATAAGCAAGGTGTGTTGGTATTCGTATCTCAGTTGATTTCTTCATTCATCTCCTGACCAAAGTGCTGACTCAAACAAATGAGGTGTTCAAAGGGGTTAAAAGAAAACTGACCCATCCTGAACTGTGGCTTTCTATTGGTGGCCAGGCTTGGAATACAGCAAAACTGCTAAGCCATGCTGCACAGAGTCACACGAATTCAGCCGAAAGAAACTTTAAAAACCAGGCTTTAAATCTGAAGACAGGAAGTGAAGTGGGGGAAGTTAATTTGTGTTACCGCAGCTGAAGCCCATTGGCTTCCCTGCCGGCAACTGAGCGTCAACGATCTTCTTCCCCTGCACAGTCTGAGGCAGTCAGATTGGAGCCGCCTGTTTGGAAACTGATTCGTGAAATAAGTATCTGTTGAGGACTACGATAAGATGCCCTAACAAGGTCGATGCTGACACAGAAGCAGAGCTACACAGACACCTGTGGCCTGTCAGGAGAGCTGTCGAGTCAGAGACGACAACACAAAAAAACGCGGCTTACAAATCCAATTGACTTGTAGGGGGATGTTCTAAAATTCCTATTTCTTCTCCCAGGCCTTCTGAAAGCAAGTGTGAAAGAGTTTAAATGCAACACCTGGTTTGTGCAAAATTCAATATAGGAATTTTAAATGGTCTACTTGCAGGTGGGAAGAAATGAGCCCAATCTCCTTCTCTGAAGCTCTCAAATCATCACCCTGCAGACTGACAGAGAGCTCACTTTTCCTCCTCCCCCAGTGTTGCTCCACCATGCTGACAAGGGTTCAGCCTTGTCTTGTTGCAGTTAATGAACTTGTAAGAACTGAAAAGAACTAGAAAATCATGCATTTCTCCAAGACGTTTAGATTTAGCAGAAAAGCAGCAAAAACTAGCAGCATGAACAACTCTAAAGGCTAGATCTGGAGAACAGCTAATTGTGTCAAGACTATGTTGACCTCACTGTTAAAAGGTGCACCTGCAGTCAACAGCTTAGTGTGAATTTTAATTTCCATGCTGGTGAAGGCAGCAGATTCAAGCAGTGCATTCTACAGTATGGGAAATGCCTCAATGCTAAGACCTGAAAAAATACCGCACTGCGTTGCAATACTATGTGTCCTTGGGCTGTTCCTCTTGGCTGCTTGTTTCACCGACAACTCAGCTGGACTTAAGCCCAACCTTTGGATAACATCAGGGTTTTGGGGGGGATGAAATTTACAGCTGGAAAGTACTCATTTGTATAAATGTGTATGGTGAGAATATTAAGTTCACTCCATGATGGAGAGACACAGGGACAGACATCAAAAGATACACAGTGCGAGTAAAAGAGACAGATTTTCTGTTTCTTACAACTTGTCATTGTTAATTACTTGGTATAATTAGAACTGCTAATAGTTGTTAGCTTTTTCAACGCTGGAATTCATCTGTCATGCCAATAAAGCACTTGGAATTGATTTGACAGAGGGAAGAACATACAGTGAGAAACAGAAACAATGAGACTACCAGAGAGACAGGGGGACCCAACAAGAGAGAGAGGCAGTGACAGGGACATCGCAAGAAATATTCAGGTATCAGACATTCTTCCCCCGCATAACAATTCTAATCCCAGAATTCCCACTCCTGCCAGAATCAGAACAGCTGTCAATCCTGCTGGGAGAGGGGGAGGAAACTCAGCAGACCTACAGTCTGAAGGCCAGTAAGTGAGTCACTCCGTGTTAATGTTGTAAATGTTTTTCTAATTGTTGAAATCTCCTCACCTGTACACACACCAATATTAATTCAATTTATGTTTCTGGCAGTTTTTGTAGCCCATAGTTCAGTTCTGTTTCTAGTGACTGTAAATTGCTGTTCTTCACCTGAGTAAAGTCATTTCCCAATGGTCACAGCTGCACCATGACCTTCTAAAATCAGTATTCTATTGTTTCATTAACACCTCAGTCTGTACTTTGCCCATGATGATGCTGTTGTCAACAGATTTCAGTCCCAGATTGGCGGTACTGACCGCCTCCGGTCTAGTAATGTGTCTGTCCACTCCTGGTGCTGCACAGCCCCAGCTCATGAGGGTTCATGGATCTGCGGCTAAAGATGATGAAACTCCTTATGCCAGTAATTAGATTAAGTAAGTAATTGAGAGTTGGGTTAGGAATCCAACTAACCTCTCCTTTGAAAACCAGAATGCCCTTTGGTTTCTCAGGGTCTTATACAAATGTTCCCAAAAAATATGTTAGAATAGAGCCCCAGATGTTCTGATTGATGTCTGATGATGAACTGTTTCCTACAACAGCAGGTTTTTACATGCATGGCATAAACACATCTTAAATGCCCAAGTGATAAAGGTGTAACTGACTGACTGTGTTTGTCTTGCTTATCTGGTGCCTCTGCTGCTTTGGCCTCCTGTCCATAGGGGGCACCTGTTCCCACTGTCCCAGCTCAGTCTGGTCCCGCAGACCCACAGGCCAATCCCCTGCCCCTCTTGCCCCCCCGTAGCCAACGCCAGGTCAACAGGGATGGAGGCACTGAACCCAGATCCCTCCTCCGTGGCGGGAAATCCCTGTTCCTGGACTGCTGCAGTTCCTCGACTCTGGGTTAGAACAGGAGGGCTTCAGTGAAGTTCACAACCAGGCTTATAAACCTAATCAAGAGCTTATGACAAAGGAAAACTGCACTTGGGATCAGAGGAACAATGCACACCCTGAATCACCCGTTCCTGGACTTTGGATAGATCACTTCAGAGTTGTCACTTGTGCAGTTCTGCCACCTGCGAGGCCATTCACGAGGCTGACCACACCCTGATGTGACACATGCGCTCAGATCGCCCGTTTAACTGGTCGGGACGAGTGGCGTCCTTGCTTCAATGCCTTCGGAGGGTGATGCCTCGGGGGGGCGTGGCTCTGCAGGTACAGGGCAGGCTGGGCTGCCTTCCTGCCTTCCCATGAAATAACAGTGCACTGGCTCAGGATCTGGCTGTGAGACATCCCACAATTCAGCATCCAGTATCCAGTCTGTTCACCGTGAAGAGTCAGGCGTCATGCCCAAGAATAACCTGTACCCAGACAGCGTACACCCCTGGTTCCCCTCCCAGTGAGGCACACATGGGGGACTTGTATTTGTTCCCCAAGCCAGTGTAGCGGGTGACCAGAATTAGGCAGTACAGGTACCTGACCTGTAGGGGGCGATGTGAGACCTAAACTGTCTGTCCTGATGACTACTCCCCCTGCACATGCCGCTGTAAATATGCCATCAAAGCCCAAGCGTTTAAACCAAACAAAAGGTGGGGATGGGGGGGTGTAGCAAAATTCTGCTACTTAATAAAAGACTTTCGCTGTATAGGACACCTGCCTACATTCTGTGTGTGTCACAGTTTTTTAATTCCCCAGGCAAACGGAGAGTGCAACGATGAAAACGCTCCCCACACCCAATAGCTCGGCACTCGCTGGCCTCCTGAGGCCTACAGGTGAAGACTGGCATGGAAACGTTGGGGTGTCACATCCAAACATCTACATGATTTAGTCTTAAATCTGAAGGGGGTAGTTCTTCTTCTCAAGGAAGATTAGACTGTGATGGGGGCGAGAGAGAAAGTCTTAATTAACCCCAAGGGGCAATGTGTTTTACAGCAGCAGACAATATTAAAAAAAACACACAAAAAATCAATACACATCTAAATACACAAATGAATCATTTGTTAAGCACTTTTATAGCCACAGCTGCAGTACACATGATAACTTAAACCTGTTTGTTGTGGAATTTCCCCTTCAGCAGCTGTGCAGCACAGTCTTTCTGCCATGAGGGAGGTACCACAAGGTGGCAGCAGTGTGGTGTTGAGGAGGTAACTGGTGAGACCTCGTGGAATTCAACATGGGCATGGAGCAGCCTGGTCTTCGGAAAGGTGCTGTCGCCCTTGTGTGGTCAAATCTGGGACCATCAACCTGCCAGTGGAGACGGCACACTTGTCGAAGTCTTTTCTGTCATTCTGCTCAAGGATTATCGCTTCACAGCCCTTAAAACTGTTTCTCAGAACCAGTATACCACAAACAGCCTAGCTTAATCATTCAATCAAATCTAAATCTGCGCGGTGAAATAGATTTTTTGGTTTTCAGTTTTTACTTAAACTTGAAATAAATATATATCTACCTTGAATTTTTCACCAACTGTTTCACCAGCCAGAAGAATTTTTACATATCTAAACCAGGAGTCCCAGGTTTTCAGTCCAGCTGAGCTCTTAATGACCTGAATCAGATCAGTGCTAGCTTGACTGGACCATCTCCACAGACACAGCAGCCCTCCAGAACCATGACAGTCCTGTTCCTGGTCTGGTCAATGTGTCTACAGCACTACCAGCACCTACATTACCCTAAAGCTCAGCAGGTGTGGGCCTGGTCAGTACCTGGATGGGAGACTCTTGGGAAAGCTGAGGCTGCTGCTGGAAGAGCTGTTAGTGGGCCAGTAGGGGGTACTCACTCTGCAGTCTGTGTGGGTCCTAATGCCCCAGTATAGTAACAGGGACACTTAACTGTAAAAAGGCAGTTTTTACAGTGGATGAGATGTAAAACTGTGGTCATTAAAAGTCCCACAGTGTTTTTCAAAGAGAATAGGGGTGTCACCACAGCATCCTGGCCAGGTCCCAATGCCCTTTGCCAATCATGGCCACCTAATAAGCCCCATCTCTGAACTGAATCCATCCATCTGCTCTCCTCCCCACTCAGAGCTGGTGTGTGGTGAGGGTACTGGTGCACTATGGCTGCTGTCGCATCATCCAGGTGGGGATGCACTGGTGCTGGTGGAGGAGAGTCCCCATTACCTGTAAAGAGCTTTGAGTGGTGTGTTCAGAAGAGCGCTGTGTAAGTGGAAAGGATGTATTATTACTATTATTACAGCAGGGCTGTCCTGTTCCTGGATGGGGAGCTGTGTCTGCTGGTTTTCCAGGTGTCTGCACATTGAGCTGCAGCA